TATAATGCAATTAGACTTTGAAGTAGAACATGAACACTAATTTCTGATGTGTGACAGACCCGATATGCCAGACAGTTAAGGAGGTGATTTTATTCAAGCTATTGCAATAGGAAAAACACTAACGGGAAACCTCTCAAAGAGGAGTATGAAAAGGTAGAGTTTTATAAAACAAGAGTCATTGAGGAAGGGTGGAGATGGGTCCTATCTGGGAAGATGGAGGATGAAGCCGTCCTTTCTGGTTAGCCCTTTCTTGGAATACAAAGGAGTACAGTGCTTCTTAACTATCCCTGCTTTCTGGGAGCACAGGGCTCAGGAAAAGTTTTACATTGTCACATGGAACAAGGTTACCGATATTTATGTTAATCAGTTGTGTTAGATACACACCACAGTTTGAAAATAGGATTCATAGAAAACTTATTAGAAGTTTATTCATAACTTTAAAATTTATAGGTATCTGGGCCNAGATGGGCAGGGCATGTATAAATGGGTCAGGATAGAGAAGGGAAGTCTGGATTTTGTTACACGGTAAATTTTAAGAGGACAAAATCATGACCCATATAAAATAAACACATATCAAAGATTTTATTTAACTCATTAATTACTGAGGGAACTAGGCAAAACACTTTTAAAGGAGGAGTGAGCCATGAATCTATATGGAGTAAAGGAATGTTAAAATGAGTTTACAAATGGGAGCAAAACTGGCTTTTCTCACTGTGGGGGGCATTGCCCCTCCAGCAGACAATTATTGGCATATCTTTAGACAAGAACTATTTGCTTTGCTGTCGGTTATCTACAATTTAGGGGTATAAGAGGATATTCAGTAATCTCTTTTGCTTATGCCAAAGTCTTAAATTTTTCCTTGCCATATTCCCTCTGTAGTAACTACATGCTTCCTCTGATATTTATCCATCAGATGACTGTCCATATTCTCTGCTTTAAAAGCCATGTCTGACCCTAATGTCCTTTCCCACCACCCCCTCTTCCTGGTCTCCATCATATCACAAGAGTTCGGGACCACCAGATTGTCTAAAGTTGCATTCAGCTACAAGTAGTTTGCTCACGTTTGTATTGCTTTTGCTTAACATCTTGTCTTTTTCTTGGGATGGCATTTTTTACATTTTTATTTAATGTTATAGGTGATGGCCACGAGTTCTTGCTATTATCATATAATTTTAACTTGGAACTTAATCAGCAATAGCCATAATATAGTTTGACCATATAACAATCAGACTTTAGGTTTTCATCTATAAATCAGAGGTGAAGTTTAATGAATTTGAATTAGCCCAGTGTTTCTCAACTGGG